ATAAAGAAATAATAAAATAAAAAATGTCGATACATTGCAGTGCACAGAAAAACATAAATGTGAAATATGGTGCTTGTTGCTAGAAATCCGTTAGATTGCCCATTTAAATAAGTGGACAAATCATTTCACAGCATGAATCATTGCATTAGACACCCAGGCATTCAATTTATGCGCCGCGTCGACCCCGCTCAGGCTTCTTTCCTCCCCCCAAAGCTGAAAACTCCTCACTCCTTGCATTTTGGCAGCTCTCGCAGGCATAAGGCTGTCTCGTAAGTGCAGAATGCCCGCGGGAGCAGGCGTTGTGCAGGCCAGCTCTATAGTTTAGTTGCAGCAGGAGACATTATGCGGTTTACACTTCAAACGAATTGGTAAAACACCTTTTTGATAGCGGGCTACCCCACGAATCGGTGCGAATATAATACGACGAATCGAATATAATACTGTTCACGCGTGTTGAAGCGTGGCGAGTCATGCAACGTACTCCCCCCTCTCCGACCACCATTGTCAGGAAGCACAGTGGGGAGATCGGTTCGAAAAATATAGGAAAGTGTGAAGGGTTGTTGGGTGGCCGAGGAGGCTAAGAGTGTGTACCGACGCAGCGCTTCGATCCGAAGGGTCGCGGGTTAGAGTCCCGCTTGGGCATGGTTGTTTGTCCCTTGTCTTTCATGTATAAGTTGTCCTGGAGGGCCTCCCGGACTGCTGAGCCCTGATTAGAGAAGCCTGCATTTTGTGTAGGTGTAATGGTCGTATATGAGTTCTAGCTGACGTAACGGGTAACCGGCTGTCGTCTGGAAAACCCTAGGGGAAAAATGCAAGGTTGATCAATAGCATTTTGGTAATTCATGTAGAAATATAACCGTTACATTATTCGGAGTTTTGTAATAAATTCAGCGAATCCAGTGAGTTTAATTTTCTCGACATGTGCGGTAGTGTAGTGCATATCAGTGTATGTGACTGTGTGTATCTGTAAGGTGTGGGGGTAGGAGTAATTTTCTTAATACGATACTATTAATAACTCTTAAATGATAGTTTTTAAATTGTATTCTGACGGTCAGAATGCAATTAGTTAGTGACTATGATTTTAAAAAACAATCCTAGGTTGATGAAACTTAGCAGTTGTTACGTTGGTTCGAGAAATCGATACGGTACAGAATGCTTCATTACGGAGAAAACAATACTGCCCAGAATACCTGGCAGATCCCGCGCAATTTGCTTTCTGTACCAGCCTCCTCACGTTAAATGGGGCCATGCTTTCCCAGCCTCAAGTCAGCCGTGTGTCTGGGTGCCGTCGGGTACAGCCGATGCTGCCACGCCGCCTGCTGGGCTGACTCATTCCTCAAGTCACCGATGCGGCCCAGCTACATTAATCCTAGTTGCGCGACAGGCGATTCGTTCACGTCGCGGTTGATCACCTCTCGAGTAACCAGCGAATCTCCCGCCGCGCGCTGGAAGTTGTCTACCAGGCCGGTAGAGTGCAGCAGTTCGCGGTAACAAGTGTTGCCGATAGGTTGCGCTGAATGTTTGAGCGCGCTATTTTTTGGCGATACGAGAATGTCACAAGAAATATATTCGCAACAAACGAAACTAGAACGTGATAGAATTTACATATTTCAATAGTATATTGGCAACTTTTTGCTGAGGATAGAACGGAAAAGCTAGACAAATAGTTTTTCAGTGTCCATGATCAAAACTTAAATATTTGGATAATTTTTATATACACCATTAAAGAAAGTTCAAATCATCAATTATAATATTTATTAGTATGCGATTTCTGGTCATTATGCAATATAAATAGGATAAGTAAAAAATGTAAATGCAATTTTTAAATAGTACTTCCAAATATTAAAATATCGGGAAGACTTTGATGAGAACTACAGCAATCAGAAAAATTACAATCCACAATCCCAAGCCTCGTTTCTTCATTTTCAAAACAAGAATTAATACTAGAGAGAGAGAGTATTATTTTTTGCCCTCATCCCTTAAAGTAGCCATTTCCGAATTGTTAATTGTCCGTGAAGTTGATGTTACGTGACTAGTGGCGGGAAACCTTCTTAAGGGACTATTTCTGTAAAAAGAAAGTGCTGATGTAGAGCGCAGTAGTACGCATAAAATTGTTCATTGCTTTTAAAACAACTCACAGATCCCAGTGATAAAAGAACAAGACAACAATGCGTATTGGACTACCATTTCCTTATAGCTAACATTTCATTTACAAAATGTATAGTACATAAGTTGCCAGAAAATGTTTTGGTGCTTGCTTTATTACAGTATAGAAATACCTCCTTTAAGATAGTAGAAAAATACGTTGTATACACCTCGGTCGAAATGTAAATGTGTCTGTCATTTACCATCCATCTCATATCGGTCTTGATAATACACTATTGATCTGTAAAGGAAAAAGTGTACGTACTCCTTAAATGCGCTGATACATTCGTTGTTTGTTTTGTCTCCTTAAATGCGCTGAAATTGTTTTACATATTTCCAAGCAATTAGAATTTACATGGTCGAAGCATATCAAAAATGGAAGTTTCACCAGAAAAAATTACTTTTAACTAAACCTAAAAGTTCACATGCTGTGGGCTTTACGCGATTCTGATGAGTATAACAATAATGACCTCTATTCATGTGCTAAAGAAACGATACCAGAAAGGTTCAGCATTTAGAGTTTAAGGGACTAGAGCCGATATGTCCTCGCAGGCGAAACCACATGACGCGCCGCTGGTAGTGAGTAAAACGTATGTATACCTTGAATAAAATTCCATCTGATCAGCAGTTTTCTGAATTTTCTTCAGTCGATACCAAACCAGCGCCATCGGAGCAGTACCTAAATAAACCGGACACAAAACACGCGCGATATCTCCTTCTTCATCCTGGCACCTTTATCTCCTCTTCTATACTACTACTACTACTACTACACACACACACACACACACACACACACACACACTTATATGCCCTACACCACCATATGGCGGAAGATCAGTCGCAAAGCTTGTCCCAGCCAGGTTGGCTAAGTTCCCTGTCGGGGAATCCCCGCAAACCGGCATGTAGGTCGACGATCGATCTCACCACCCAGCGGGGGAGGAACACCTCCATCTCTCGGGATATAACATACACTACTCTAACGGGTCTAATGAACATGACGTGCTCGGGAACAAAATAATCAATTGAATCTCTTCGTTGCTGATTGCTGAGCGTGGTGGGTGAGAGCTGCCGCTAGAAACCACGTGACCATCCGCCGACTGCGGTGAAAAGCATGTGTGGGCAACCAGGAATAGAAGATATTCAATACTTTTCATATTCGAGACAACGACACTGCAGAATTGTAAGGCCTATGATTGGTTGCAATGGCAGCTCGTACTTAGGTTGCACGGTTGCAAAACATCCAGATAAACGAAAAAAAAATCTTGTGATATGTTAGGAATTTAAATTTTCCTTTTAATTGAATTCGATGTTCAAGATATTGTAGGAACATCGATGTTCATGAAATCATTTTGAAATTAAAGAGCGCCCAATGAGCGTTCTTTCAGACGTCTGGTGCTATCCCAGGCAGTGCACCATGTCAACATGTCAAGCTCTTAAGCTCTTTAACATGCGTTTACATTTTGGTCCTATGTTTCAACTTACGGCATTAATTTTTGTCGCACGGAAACCAGCCACCAGCTTACTGCCCGAAAGTGCGGGGGTCTGGTGACAGAAAGCGTTGCGGCGTCCGATATCACTTTTCTGACTTTGACATTAGCTGCAAAGTAATTTTATTAATTTCACGTGTGATTGATAGTATACAAGTTCAGTGATTTCTTTAAGGTATTAAATTAATTATTTATTATGTTTGGAGATTTATTTTTATCGGGTAGGGTTGTTGATTTACAATGTACAATTATTGAATTCTTTGTGTAAAGTTGACCATTCTAGAGGAATGTCACGGTGGGTGCAATGATCTTCCCGGCAGTAGTGGCTGTCTGTGAACTTCTCGTTGTGAATACGAGTCTCGATCTTTCGTTATTCCAGAATATAACAGTGAAATTTCGTTGTTGTTGTTTTTTGTTTGTTTTTTTCCTGCGTTTTATTATCAGTAGAGACCGGATTTTTATATAATTACATTTTTTGTCGTACTACTTACCGTTCTCAAAATTATAATCTGGGCGAATCGTCGCAGTGTTAACACAATATCCAATGTTTTCGTTACATGCTTTTACATGTATTTGGCTGTATTACAAATTTTACATATTTTGCTATTTTCAACAAATATATTTATTATCAATTTTCTTCAATTTTATTACATTTTTTATTACAAGAAGTACCAGTATTTTAAAAAACTCAGCAGTTTTTCTTCACTATTTCTTGTCTGCTCCAGGTAAGCTACGTAAGGCGTGGTGGAATATCCTTAAGAGTCCTGTGCGACTGCTTCAGTTATCTCAGTAGCGGGAGGTGCGCGTCAGCGACTGAGATCATGTTTACCTTTAGGTATGAAAAGTATCATAGATGCTGCGTTTCGTGTCCTTTAACCCTAATTTCCGACAAACTTTGGCGATTGCCAACGTGTAACACTTCCTTTGCACGCTGCAATGATTGTTTTCGGGTCGTAGCCATCACCTATTTGTAGGATGGCTTCTATTGCGTCTAGTCTGGCTGCTATACTACAGTCCTGGATAGCAGTGGTTAATTTTTTTTACGGGAATGTTCTATAATGGAAATAAACTTTTGCTCTCCAAATAATTTTTAAAACGTTTCTATTTTTTTTAAATTTGCTTAGAGAATGTTCTATAATCATAATTACGTATTATGTAAATATGTTTTATAATTAGGTACTTTAATATTGCGTATTGTATCCGACTTTATTATATTCCTGCAGTTTTCTTTACATATTTGTGTACATATTTTTCCGGCCTCTATCGCTACTAGTAGCAGTAATAATTACCTAGATAATGACATAAACTAGTGTAAAACGTATCCAAACAATGATACTTGTTGCAAAGTATTGGAGTGTCGTCTCCGTATTTTCGAAAGAAAGTTATTGTGTGTGTGTGTGTGTGTGAATCTTATCGTGAATTGTCGCAATGCCGAAGGAATACTCGAGTGCCCACTGGAAATCAACGTCAGAACCACGTGCGCGGGATGTGAACATCTCTGCCACGGACACTGCGTATAAAAATATGTAAGGAATGTTTCAATATATACTGTTATTAAATTTACTTTAAATTAATTTGAATTGATTGCTTACATTTTATTATATATTAATGTTCTCAATTTTGGAAATTATATTTCTGCCATACGATGGAGCTGCAACCCTCAGTTGTTGAGGCTCCAACCGCATCTGATTGGTCGTAAGCCCTAGCGCCAAAAAATGTTAAAATTTTGTTACTGTCCGCGTTTATATCGGATGAAAGCGCAAAAAATGTAGGCTGTACAAATATCAGCAGTTTTGGATAAGAAAAATTGCTGCCGCGTAAGTGTTGAAATATAAACGGCATTTAAAATCGAAAACCGTAATCTTTCAGTTTAACAGACACCCTAATGCACAAGTGTAAATGCGTGTATACAATGTACCTTTTATGTTGCTTTTAGGATCGCCCCCAGACGCGCACTTCGGGCGGCTGGACCTAAGCCCCCACTGCGGGAGTGAAGGTGCTCTCCTAAAAGGCTGAGGAACGGAGAAGGGCGTTAAAGGGAAACCAACTTCAGTGCACTTCCATGACTCGCTTTATTGCGTCACAAGGGTTTTGTGTATACAACTCATTCTCCGAGCGGTCGCGCCTGACACTGAAGAAAACGGATGGCGCCCGATACTCTCCATAATAACAGAGCAGCCTGTTGCGCTAACAAACGACGTGGCGCTGTCCCACTCTATGAGCAAGCTTTCGCTGAAAGCGGGCCCACAAGTTTTCCTCTGTACCAGGCGGGACATTTGCCATGTCTACAAATCGACGTAATACGGAATCGGCAATAACAAGACGTTTTCATAAATCTGTCGCTTCGGGGATCATTTACATGAATGCCTTTTCAGGTTCTCTTATTCAGACGAATCATTTTTCTAGAAATTTTGTATAAAGTTCGTGTCTGTAGGACATCAAAGTAGAGTACATTGATTTTAATAGGTATAAGACAGTTATCTCATTCTCAGTTTTCTGATACTTTGGATAGTACACAATATACTTATTGAAAGTGTTCTTAGCAAAATCTTAGGGAATACATACAAAATTTATTGTTCGGAAAGCACAACATGATCCACTATCCAATTAGTGGGATTTCGAAAATTGGGCAACAAATGCTTTAAATAGTTTCACTCATCTTCTATTATTAACTCGTAAAGGAAACAAAACTATCGTCACGAATAGATAAAAATAAGAAAAGCTATTTAGTATAAATGCAATGTAAAGCAATTTCCATTAGGCCTTCTCTATCGTTTCTCTCATGCTTCTGTAATGAATATTTAAGAAATTATATTATTTTATTAACGAAAAATTACCAAACATTAACATGTCAGAAAGGAATGCAACTGTTGATTATTGTAACATTTCTTTTTTCAATTTGTATATTGAAAGTTTTGAATATAAATTTACGAAATGTATGAAGAAACGCAGGTTTTGTTGAATACTTTATTCAGACCGACGAATTCATTACAAAATTCAAATATTCTATTTTTCATTAGAATAATTAATATATGAAAATATTAATAAAAGTTTAAACTTAAGACAAAAGCTTAAAAGTCCATTATGAAAGACTGGTTTTCTGAATAATTCAAATGTCTGTACATCTTGCCTTTGCAACCGCTCTTGCCACGATACTCGTATCTACGGTTGAAGTATGTACTACGATAGTTATATTTTGTCTTTCTGAGTGTAGATAACGATATCTAAAGAAGAATTTGCTAGTATCATTAATTTACTAGGCTAGTTAGGTTACGTCAAAATAATTTCATATCAACACTTCCACGCACATTGTTTTTAATGTACGGTGATTGATATTTATATTCTCCCTATTCGAAGAATCAAAATCTACCATGGTGTTTCCAGTGTACGTTACACATCATGTAACGTAATAAACTATAGAAAGGATACACATCAATGGGCGAGGGAAATGATGAGCAGTATATTGAATTATACAAGTTTTTTGGCACATCAAAGTTCATATTCATTGTCGAAGCTTGAAAACTAAAATTCTATTACGCATCTCGTTTTCTATGAAATACGTCCGTTATCAATTGATTCAACAGTTTTTTGCACTGTATCTAAAAAGGTAATCTACACATTTTGATACTTTTATTAAAGCAAGTACTATTTGATGAGAAAAGTATTGCATTACAGAAATTGGAATGCTCTGCCATACGATGGCCATACTTGATAGTTGTTTTCTACAAGCCTAATATATCACACTGCAATCATAAATTACAGAAGAATTGACATCACCAGTTACCCCATAACTTCTTGGTATTCAATGATACACTTACTGCAACAATGACAAGAAGTGGTATGTTTTTACTCAGATTCACAGCATCTGACAAATGTACTTTATTGTAATTATTTACTTAATCTGAAGGACTTCATATCAATCCTCCAGTTCATCATAGATTATATCGACAAATATTTAATGATCATTCAGCGTAGATTCGATGTTTCATGTGCCTTTATTTTTCTTACGAGTGCGAATATCTCTTAAGCACTCAATTGTTTTACGTTATTTGCTCTTGCAGTAAAAATAGCAAGTATTTACTCTTAAAGAAACATTGATTGACACCTGTACAGAACAATAAACACATCAAATATCAGGTAGATTTTCACACCTATTTAAGCACTTTATTTTGTGATTTTCATCGAAATTCTTCCACGTGTAACAAATGTCAAGTACATATTTATTTTGATCGTGCCAGCGGATAGGTCTTTCATGGAGACGCATGTTTTTCATGTTAAATGTGTAGGTTCGTACACGTATTCACAAGCTGACCTCTCACAATGTCTCTTAAGTTTCAAATGCGCCAACCAACCTCTGTGCACGTACAGTCCAAAGAGTTTACGCTCATCCGTCTTAGGGATGTGTTGTTCAAAAGTCCACAAACGCGACGTGACGCGACGCGAGTCGCCCACTGGAGTCCTCCCGCTCAGAACACAAAGGGCACGAGCCGGTACGGCACCAGCTTGCAGTACTCCTCCCATCCAGCGCCGTACTTCTCCGCGCACTTCTCCTCGTCCCTGAAGGTGCGGTGCACCAGCAGCACCACCAGGAAGAAGAAGTAGAGGAAGGGCCAGGGCCCGAGCCCCAGCCCGGGCAGGCACCAGGCGAGCGCGCCCACCAGCTCGAAGGTGTAGTTGAGGTGGCGCGCCACGCCCCAGCAGCCCGAGGTGAGGAGGCGCGACTGGCGGGTGGCGCCGGCGGCGTCGCGGTACGACACCACGAGGAAGGAGGCCGGCCGCCCCCACAGCGAGCACTGGCCGCGCGGCGCCGCGCGGAACAGCTGCCGCTCCAGGTCGACGCGGTAGTTGAGCAGGATGCCGGCCATGCCCAGCGCCGCCGCGCCCGCCGCGCCCCACGCGCCCAGCGCCGGCGGGTGCGCCACCAGGAAGTAGCTCGAGTACGTGTACAGGCACGGCACCCACACCAGGCAGCCCCAGCACAGGTAGTAACCCGCGCGGTCCAGCGTGATGTCGAGCGTGCTGAAGTAGCCCGCCTCCCACCAGAAGAACTTGGCGATGAACACCGACTGCAACAGCCGGGCACGCAGCGCCGGTTAGATAACAGCACATCCCGCAGCTTGCAATCCATTTCGTATTGGCGGCTCCGAGCATTCGGTATTCGAGTTGCGGGCGACTGTGAGGAGGTGGGTGGATTGCTTGCTATATGCCGAGTGACGAACATTCAGTGCTCCGCCTACTCACTGCGTTTCGGTCTTTTGGACGCGTCAAAGGGAGCAATCACATCAGCTGCTCGGGAGTGGGCCAACAGTGCAAAGCCACCTTCAGGTAATAACAAGTTCACTTTCGTAATACAGAATTAATGTGAATAAAAATGTGTATAAAATAATGGGGTGTAATAATATTGTGAATAAAAAAAACACACTTCAATTCACAAATGCTTATAAAAAGTAATATTATGGATATAGAAAAAAATAATATTATCAATATTAATTAAAATAGCAATCGATAATCCTTGTCCTTATTTTGTTTGTTTTATCTTCGCTATATTCCATGTCAACCGACGTACTATCTGCCTTCGCTGCTGCCACCCTCCTGTGGCTGCTCCAATAGAGTTAAGGGAACTATCATTTGTCGCTCAGCTCTAACGATTATTTATCGAGAGCGGAAACGGGCTCATGCCAAGCACACGTTAAGATATCTTTTTCAGTTTTACTCAGTTATCAGTAACATGCCAGAAATATATATTTCAGTTAAAAGAAGAATTAATGTGGTAATACAGTGAGTCGGGAAAGCGTTTCCCTGAATTTGGAATAAGCGTTTATTTAAATAGATTCAATGAGAATTCTTTAAAAATTTCATAACATTGTTTCAATTAATATGATACTTCGAGAACAATGTCTCTCTCTCTCAAGTCATTAGTGTGCATTAGTAGACTTATGTCCATATATATTAACATAACGCAGAATGAGTATTTAGAATTAACTTGAACAAACACCGGGTTTTCATGCAGAAAAACACCCTAAAACGTGCAGTAAAAAAAGTGCAATAAAATATCAAGACTTTGCAAAACGGTGTAAACGCCTAAATCCTTCAGTTAATCCACTTATCAACTTATATTTATATTTTTAAGGAGATATTTAAGGGGAATGAAATATTATAATTGTAGTGTTACTATATTTAAGTTTTACATATTGTTTAAACAAACCATATTTAACACTTTAAATATTATTCGCATACAAAATTAAAGTAGCATAAAACTCAAAAATGTAAATACAAAAATTGAAACATGCAAATATCAGAAATAAAAAATAATTAAGTTACAGAATAAATGTTCTTAATTGTTTTAATTATAATTTACAATTATGTATATTTTCAAATTATTTTGTGAGAAATTATTATATCTTCCATCAACTAATATGTTTCAGACTGGAAAAACCTCGTTCAACATCTCATTTATATTTTTGTACGGGGTTAACCCTTACACTGACGTACGTCACCGCTGCTAAAAATCTGCGTTCATTTTCACATGAACCTCCCAGGGCAACGTCTGTTCCGACAAGTTCGATGAATCTGAAACGCAGTGCAGCTTGTCACTAAGCCTCGGACCCAGAGGTAAAGCCAAATGTGACTCGCCCATGCTGTCTCATGTCGGTAAGTTCAGCGAAGACCGAGGAAACGGATATATGATCCAATTGGGAAGACCGACCCCAAAGACAGCGTTTGCTAAGTGGCCGCAACCGAGGGCCGCGGACCTATCCCTGCAGCAATAACTCAGAAGTTTTAGTTAGATAATAGTCATCATGAAAGGTACAGACGCTCAGTGCATAGTGCAACAAAATGCAGCATTGATACATACAACACTCAGGTGACAACACTCAATATGCAATACAACACTCAATTATGCAATAAAACTATGAATTTGGAAATTCGCAAAATGTGAAATTTTCAGGCAGCATTACCTCAAATGTGCAATATCGTGCATTAACCACCTTACGTGCAATTTAGTGCAAAATAAAACACGTATTAAAATAACGCCCTTTTCATGATTCAAATTTCTGTCAAGGTTTCATTCAATTTCAAGTTAGTAAATAAGATGCACTAACATGAAAATCCGGTCTTTACTTAAAACTAGAGGGCGGAGCATGGAAACGATTTAGTGAATTTTCCAAAGATAATTCTAAAGCTGCAGCCAGTATACAACGCTGAACATCAAATTAAATGAAATATTTGCTCGCGAATAGACAGACTTCGACCACGCGTACATACACCCTGCATTTACTGGGGCTCAATACTCGTACTATTATCTTGATGGCAAGTGCATGTAACTCTAGGGATCAGCATTTAACTGGACCCGATTTTTATTCCCCAGGGTTGTTAGCTCTGGGGGCATGGAAGACGAAATGATGATGATAAGGAGTGAAAGGACGACATACACATACATACACTCACGCCTGAGGCGGGACTCGAACCCGCGACCCTTCTATCCGAAATCGCTACGGCACTATTGTCTTAGCGATTTCTGTTATCCATGCGACTGTTTCTATTTATTATTACTCGCATTTTTTCCCTTGTACTCTGAGTACTGCCTCCTGAGGGTTTAGAGGATGTTAGGAATCATTTCTATCAGCCTTTTTCAGATACTTTTCCATTGCCCTCTTTACAGATCATTCAGCAAGCGTTTTTAGGTGGTCTTGTTATGATTTCGGAAGTGGGATGAAGATGACGTGTCAAGCGTCATGCGATATTTGTTCCTAATGTTTACTGTTAACAAAGCCAGAAAATACAGGTACGCGTCTCGAAAGAAGATCTTAAAGTAGACCTTAAAGCCATCCTGCCTTAGGTCAGGATAAAAATCCTCAACTACACTGGGATGTGAACTCACTCAGGTTAGCACACGTGTCCTAACCTAAACTAATTATTATTATTATTATTATTATTATTATTATTATTATTATTATTATTATTATTATCATTATTATCATTATTATCATTATTGTTGTTGTTGTTACTATTATTTTAGTATTATAATACCTGCTACATTAGTCAGTTAAAAGAAGGTGGGCGTACCTGCAGCAGCAGGTTGACGAGCGTGGCGGCGCTGAAGCCGTGTCGCTGCACCGAGGCGACGTAGAAGGCGATGATGAGCAGCTGCCAGCCCATCATGCCGATGCGGCAGTTGGTGAGCTGCTTGACGTCGACGCCCAGCAGGCGCGGGTGCAGCTCGAGGCCGCAGTAGAACTCGTAGGCGGCGGGGCGCGGCGGCTGGCGGTCGGCCGGGTGCTCGGGCCGGCGCTTGGCCTTGGCGCGCAGGTACACGCACAGCAGCAGCGCCGTCGTGTTGAGCGCGCCCAGCAGCTCGGGCATCTGCGCCCACAGCGCCGCCGACAGCCCCGGCCACAGGGCCTGCGCCGTGAAGAACGCCACCAGGCTCGCCCAGTAGTACAGCACGCCGTTGTCCTGCAACATGGCAGCCGGGCAGATCGATTAGTTTGTGTAGCATCGAAGATGCATGCCTAGTGGATTGCATAGGGATTTGTTTCATTCAATTTGTCTAATTCGACTAATTCGGCTAGTAGGTCTAGTGCTCTTGATCAGTGGTTGTCATGGTTACCCTTATCACGTCTAGAAGAATGACGCTGCAGTGCACAAGGGGGTCCGCGCGCGGTTTTCTTCCCATTCCCTTCCTATCATCATCGTCGTCGTAGTCGTCGTCGTCGTCCCCGTATCTCCTTCAGTCCGGATTGGAGCGCCGTGATGTAGTACGTTGTATTCTAACTCACCCTGTCATAAGTGGCACCCGGCGGGAGAGGAACACCGCTACCTGTCGGTTTACATGCAATTCACGTACGAAACCAACAACCTCTGCCGTTGATGCTTACGGAAACACAATCTAATCAGAGAAAGTTTCAGAGCTGGTATTCCGTGGTCCAGTTGGCGTTAAAGTGCTAAACGTTTCTTTCACGACTGCGGTGGACAACCTCAGTGGCGGCATGGCCTCAGGTGCTGAATCCGGAGCGGCGGCTGGCTGGCTACAAGACTGGGAAATTCATGCTGTTATTGCAGCAGCAGTTTTATCAATAGACTGCATCTGTTACTACACCATCCCAATTCCTGAAAGGCGGCCGCTGCAACAGATACTGCGCTCGATCCCCTGCCACCTCAGATGCCCACCGTAGTCGTGGACGATTCTATTGGACCCTCGACGCCAACTAGGCCTACCAGCCCGGAAACTTTCTCTGCTATTGACTTCGTCCGTAAAAGCATGTTTGTAGGTAATTACCGTATATTATACTAAAAGTCCTGAAGTGTGGGGAGGGGGTGAGTCGGGGATGAGGAGAGCCGCTTAAAGATGGTTTTTCTTCGCTTTGTTTTTACATTCTCCATAATTGTCAATCCTACCAACAATTAAATTACACAATACTATAAAATTACAAAATTAAAGTAGAGAAAAATTCCTACAAAAAGCTTCTGTAAGGTTTTGTTGTAAATTTTACCCTTTTAAACTTCTAGACTTGAAAAGTTATTGTTTTTATTTCAAAAGTATATGTGTAATGTGCGGTAGGTACCAGCAAAAAATCATGCTAAGTTTCAAAATACGGTTTTTTTCCTTCCATCACCAGTTTTTGATCTAAATTAACTGGGCTATATGATTTAGACGCCGGTAGCCATCAATACTCAACGATCTTGAACATATCAAGTAAACAACTAGTACCTTCCCGGGACCTCCCAAGCTGTGGTATGACCGGGCCGTAATGCATTGATCTTATGCATGTCAGAATTATTATAGTAAGTAGCATATCATACAATATAAAAATGTTGCTGTATGCGTTATAATTATCCACAATAAATTATGGTATCAAAGCGAACTCAATCAACGCGACTTCAGGTTAAAATCACGTTGCAGTACTCGGTTGACTACACATACTTAGAAGCCTGATTGTGTTGAAATAAGGATTTTGTCATAATACTTTCCGTCTTCATTCGACATCTACAAGGTGGAGAAACAATTCCGACTAAGACAGGCGTTTTACCTGAAATTATTTGTACGGTATAGTTGTGAACCGCATGCATTCATTAATTAATCGCTTTTCAACTTTAATTTTTATCGTGAATTAATCTCCGCTACCTATATTAATTGAAATAAAATATTAATGTAAAATAATAAAGTGTTATTGTGTAGGCAATCATTTGCCGTGTGAACACTGAGGATTATAGCCGAGAAAAATATCGCGGCCAATCGTGAGAATGATAACAAGAGCGCAGTCATTTAGGCAGACGATAGCCTATGCAAATCACACTATTTAAGTGTGACCTCTGGTGTACTTCTATCACACAAAAAACCACATTCTCCTTTGTGTATATCAGTTCTGATAGCTCACTAATTGGTATAATAAAGACAACAGTTGAAGGCTATTGATAAAACTATTGCTGCAATAACATAGCATTTATTTTCCACTCCGGTAGGCGAAAACAGCATAGTTGTACATTTCGCACAACAGCAATTTAATACAATCAAATGAAATTTGGTAATGTACCATCTTATAATTTTCCTGAAATGTAACAGATATGAATAATGCGATTTTACCTTTATTTAAATACCCCCAAAATTAAAATGAATTTTAACTTACAAATGTTCAAATTATAGGTAAAAGTGTAAGCACAAGTTTAGGAATAAAAGCAACAAAACCTGCAGTTCACCAAGAACCGTAAAGACAAAGATATATTATACAACCGCATAGACCAAGCATGTATTTTTTATCACCTCCATAAAATAAATGGTGGACCTGTAGTGGGATATTTCCGTTAAAATGTTAAATTCTATCTTAGAAGCAGTATTAGACTTTCCTCGCGACAAATTGTACGAAAAAGTGAGAATAATCTTAATATCATTGCATAGTAGTTTTTAGTATTTAATTTACATATTAATATTACGTATTAACAAGTATGTCAACACTTTTCTAGGAACAAAATATCACATTCACTTTAAGAATAAATCACTACATTCCGATGTTTATGAAGTGTGTCGTTATTAAGTACACAGATCTCAGAATGTTACAAACATCTAGGGTTTATAGAGGGTGGAATAGAATTACTTTTCAAAAAAAGGTATAGGGGAAATTTCATACAACGGAGTTCAACATATGATATATGCCCCTGATTGCCAGGTCAACTCCTTCTGGACAGGTGCTCGGCAGATCACGGCTGACTTCGGCTCAGAGCCAGCGTTATCACGGCGCTGACTTGGATGCCCTAGTGTTATAGTTCCGATAGTGGAGGATTTTCGACACTAGCAAAATAACTAGATCGGATTCAGCAACTGTCTGGAAAAAATTCTCTCATGTCCGGCTTATCTAATCGGTGAGCTGCGTTGTTGTTTCTTCGATTTATTCCAGGCGAATGCAGGAGCTATACCTTAACCAACAGGCCACGGACTGCGCGCGGTCTTTCCTTCCTCTTCCCTGGCCTATTCCCTCCCCCTCTCCCAATACACACTTAAATTCAATACACCATCACACTTGTCGGGACACCAGACAGGAAATTAGAGGTTGTCCCGATTGAAGCGGTACTCGCTGTGGGGAAAATACCTGGAAGGAATGTGAAATCCTCGGAAACCGACGTAACGACAAGATGTCACCATCCAGCAGGGGTACAACACCGCCACTTTACCTGAATAAGCATGCACTACACTAATGGGACTAATGACCACAGCAGTTGACGCGCCCGGCAACCTCAATCAATCGGCAGGTCACGTTTTGACGCAGACACTCGATGCACATGCAGAGCATCTGTGCACAATGAGTTGCGTCACGATCAGGGACAAATAGCACATGTGTAACTCCGTTAGATGAAATTTATCAATAGAGCGGAAATTTTAATGAAAGGTCATTATTTTCCTTTGCCTATAGAACAATGCCATTTAGTACAGACATTAATTTTATATATTGACAAAAAGAACAGACCCATTTTTATAAGATATTATTTTACAATTTTCGTCGATTTCGACTAATAAGTCATTTTTTTAGTCTTGTCATTTAAAGCATTTTCGCAAATTTAATCGATTTTAATATACTTTTGCTTGCTTCAAATAATATTTACGAGACGCAACAAATTTTGCACATAATTCCTGATGAGCCTATTCTATTTCTTCGCTCAGAATTTGTAATGTCAGCCGTTGTATGTAATCTAAGGTTCCTGTGACACCTGTCAGCATCATTGTCAGTTTCGCGATAACTAAAGAGAGATTGCCTGCTAAATAACAGTCCAAACCTAAAGTCTGCAAGCTGAGTTCACTTGAACGAAAGGAAGAAGCCTCGATGATATCAGTAACATAACCAAACGCTTGAGTTGTTCATCTGAACTGGTTCTGATCCAATTTTACGTCAGTTTTGTTTGTTTTTAGGAGATTTTAAAAATATTTTAAGAGCGTTTTGTTGATTACAGTGTTCGACAGTGATTTTGTTAAATGGCTAACTGTAGCTATTTCTTATGTATTTTGCTCGCTTAAGTCGAATACAACCACAAAAGTTGCCCAATGGGCTCAGGTTTTGTGTAATCGCACATAGTGTTTCTATACTAAAACGATATTTTCGCAGATAGGCAGTGTTGTTTATGCAGGAACCCTAATTGATTGCAAGTTTATTACAAGACGGTAGTCCCCAATAATATACAATATTGTATATTCCACTAACGATATGAAATAGCTGCCAGATCGAAACTTTTATCGTACTTTTGTTAGGTCTCCAACTAGGATACACTAAATTTTGCTTTTTTCTATACGAGTGGGCGAGCTGAGTTCCCAAAAATAAGTTTGTGAAGTAGCACGTATCTCAACAACATCTGATATTTGGACAAAAAATCATATACACGTATATCTTCCCCTGTTGCACATCAAACTCAGATTGATAAACAAATTGTGAAAGCAACGGGTAAAAGTGAATCAAGTTCCCAGTATTTATAAAACAAAATCTCGAAGACCAGTGCGGCACAAATAAAGGACGGTACATTTGTAGGACCACCCGTAAAAGAACTTAGAAAGGATTGTGATTTCGAGGCATGTGTGAATGGTGTTGAAAATGCTGCATGGACGCCGCTTCAAAACGTCTTAACTGAATTCCTTGGTAACACAAAAGCTGAGAACTACGAAGAACTAGTGTCCTAAATCCTTCACTATTATAAAGATCTGAAATGTATCATTGTCTTTAAAATATATTTTCTGGAGTCAGACGTACAGTTCTTTCCAAAACTCTCGGCGCTGTGCAGAACCAAATGGTGAGCGGCTTTACAAAGACATTGCAACAATAGAAAAATACATCAGAGAATAATGTAATCGAAGTATGATTGCAGACTATTGTAGCACAGTAAAAAGGGATGTTTCGCTGGCAAAATAAGTAAACAATCGTTAAAAAGTACATTTGTATTGAGATAACACGTACGTCAAGTAAATAAAACCAATCACT